GACATCTCATATAGTCTAGGACAGTGTTCCGCAACCTTTTTCTACTTGCGGCACACCCATGACTCAACACGGCACACCAAAATGTTATTCCCCTCAAAAACGTATGATATGATACTATTAATAGAATTACGTAATGCCACTAACCTATTATTATTGTTATTAAAAGACATCAACACCTGTGAGCAAATTTATTTTACATATAATTTCTTAGAATACATAAAAATGCATGGTTTGTAATAAAGAATATACAATCATCATATTTCATCGGTGCTGCGGCAGAGAATGAAATACAAGCTTAAGAAACACAAAAACTGTGATAAAAATATATAAATAAAATTTGAAATTAACAGAATATGTAAAAGTTTATGTCACACCTTTCACCATGTGACGGCACACCAGTTGCGGAACACTGATCTAGGAACATATCCCCCACATTAAGCAGTGTCTTACTGTACATTGAATACTTGCTTCCATTGTAATGTCAACAAATTTTGTCTTTTATTTTTTATCCTTTCTTAATAGTTTTTGTTTTATTTATGTATCTTTATATAATTTGTTCCATTACATCTTATAGAAATATTCACAAAAAACAAAAAAATCTCTCTCAAAGAATGAAGAAAATAATTCTTAGTAGAACAATCTGTAACAAAACAATCTAAGCTGATATATTTCAAGAGGCAATAATTATATTTTAAAGAAACCTTGAAAGTTGATGAAAAATAATATAAATAAGATTTTTTAAGTACTTTTGAAATATTCATACATCATTAGATTTTATGCTGGAAGTAAAACTAAATTATCAGTACTTGGGTGAAAAGACACCAATTAAATGGCAACAACATCACAGTTTATATTAACAACATTATAAAGGACATGACCTAAATAAATTGTTTATTAATGTACTATTTCCAAAATGAAAGTAAATCAACATAAAGTTAAATGTATTGTAGCATTTTGGTGGTGGATTGATCTCTGAGCAGCAACATCACAAATTTGGAAACTGAATTATGACTATTTACAAAAATTATAAAATTTTCGAGTCTATCTTTCATCCTTTTAACACTACCACAGAAGTAACATTATATTGACTTGAATAAACTTTTTTGAAAATTTTATAATTTTTGTAAATAGTCATAATTCAATTTCTAATTGAAGATATCCTGGGTTGTTATCATGTTATCATGTATGCTTTTATGCAAATGAACTTTATGATTACCCAAAACCCCACCAGAGGACCTGAATCAGTTATATATTGAGCTAAAGGACATTGTAGTTATAATAAAAAATTGTAATCTTTGTTTTAATGTTAAAAGATGCCGAATCCTCAAATAAAAGGTTGGCGTTTCGATCAGTTTTAACTTTGTGTGATTTTTTTTATCATGTGTTCTAATGAAGTTTATTCAAGCCAATATAATGTTACTTCTGTGGTAGTGTTAAAAGGATGAAAGATAAGCTCTAAAATTTTATAATTTTTGTAAATAGTCATAATTCAATTTCTAATCGAAGATATCCTGGGTTGTTATCATGTTATCACAAATTTGTTTGCTAAAATAAACTTTTATTGTCATTTAAATTTGTAGGATGTCACAAATTTTTTTATAAATTGCAATGGATCTGGTTTGTAGGAAAGTATATAAATAAAAAGAAAAATAAATTTCCTGAAGAGTTGAGCAAGTAGAAGACAAAATTCAATGACACTGCAAATCCACAAATAAATGTGTCTACAAAGGTTTCACACAGATATAATACTGCCAAAAACAAACAAGCAAACAAAATTTCCCTTTTATTTGTAAGATTTTCAAGATTCAAGATTAAACATATCATTATATAGCAACATGTCAACATTATTATACATACTGCAGTATCTATTATCAAAACATAAATTGCTTTAAATATACAATTACAGTAGAACCTCGATTATCCAGACTAATTGGGGATGAAGGTAGTCTGGATAAGGAAAAATCCGGATAATCGAAACAAATACTTTAATTTGTCTTTTATTNTATAGTAAGAAAGCGGATTCCTAGAGAATGGAACGTATCTC